AGTCTAACAGTCTACCTGCTGTATTTGTAGTAATCATTTTCCTCTGAACTAACTGCTTCACCTCCTTTCCAGTTACGTGGAAATTTTAGTTATAGTGTTTAACTAGCATGGATTAATAGAGTTGGAGTTTTATTTTTAAGAAAAATTCACACAAGCTAACTTCCACTAACCTATTATTACCCTTTATTTTATTGAAATGTATAATTAACTGAAGAAAAGATTCTTTTTGGAGTATGTTGTCATAACATTCAAGGAGATTTCCCTGCTTTAAACTAGGTTGCTGTTTTATGTTGAAGTGCATATTTCTGTATATTTGTCATGACAGTGCTTGCATCCTAAGCACTGAGCAAATAAACTTTACATTTTAAACAAAAACAAAAAAATGCAAATATACAGACTTTTCAAATGAATGGATCAGATTCCTTAAGTCAGATTTTAAGGTACTAACCTGGTACATTATTTATGAGGAGATCTTTGTATGTAGTAATAGTTACAAGGTATCAGAGACAATAAAACAATCTGACAAGTAAAAACACTCCTTGTAACCAGGGATATTATAGAATACTAATTCAGGAAGTTATTCAGCAGTTTATAAAGAAATAGGAAGTTGTTGATCAACTACTTGAGCAACTATTTCCTGTAGGAAAACTATAAGACAGCTGAAGAAGGCAATAATTCAGAGTCATAAAGGGAATGAATTCTTTTAAAATAAAAGCTCAATGTACTATACTTAAAAAATTAGTTTCAACAGTAAATTCAATAGAACACGTATTATATATAGCATACAATGACTAAGCCTTTTTACGTACTTCACAATCATCCCATAGCTTGAATTTGTGTTACTGACCAATGTAGCTGGTACTTTTACCCTATCATTTGTCAAGATAAGATACAAGTCTTCTCCAGAAGGTCTATCTTGCTGACCTAGAGGGAGCATTAAAAATACCAATAACTGGCTCAGCGCCTGTGGCTCAAGTGGCTAAGGCACCAGCCACATACACCTAAGGTGGTGGGTTCGAATCCAGCCTGGGCCCGCCAAAACAACAATGACGGCTGCAACCAAAAAATAACCAGGCGTGGTGGTGGTGGGCGCCTGTGGTCCCAGCTACCTGGGAGGCTGAGGCAGGAGACTTGCTTGAGCCCAGGAGTTGGAAGTTGCTGTGAGCTGTGATGCCACAGCACTCTACCCAGGGGGATAGCTTGAGGCTCTGTCTCAAACAGAAAAAAAAAAAAAAAATACCAATAACTGCCTGCTTATAATTCTTCTGTAATTATGCTGCCTTGAACCTAGAAGACTTCAAAAACTCATTCATCTATGGTCACAAGGCAATAATTAGTTGTTTCCAAAGTCAACATCTCTAAGTTTTCTCTCAAATTACATCACCTTGCATATTCGGACCATTTATAGTCACAGTTTTCATGCCAAATATAAACCTCAATAAGGTATATACTTTGTAACCTAAAACTTTGTCCCAACAAGTATTTAAAGAGATGTACTTAAATACAACATTTCACTGTGGAAATGTGTATAAAGTATGCAACTACTTTAAATCTTCATTCTTCATCTAGCTTGCAACAATTCTTCATTAGACACAAAAAGAAAATACATAGGTATTGACTGCAAAGGGTATGATTTTAAAACCTTAAAACTAGGCTAACAATGAATTTTGACAATAACTTGGTACCACAAAAGTTTAGTTATCATCACCTTGACTCACAGTTAGGATATTAACCATATTTATCTATTCAGTACACAAAAAATTAAGTTGTTTATGACAAACATATACCCTATAACATCACGGAAGTAGCTAACAACTGGAGAAGATAACTAATATTGCCTTACAACATTTCTCCAAATGTATATTGTTCATAATGCAGATAACCTGTAAAAGGATATGAAATTCTAAAAACCCACAGCACCCATCTTTCACATCTAATCCTTAGGAACCCTCTATACAATCCCTGATAGGTACCAACTAATCCATGACTTCATCTGCTTTTAATGACCAAGATTTACTTCTCTGGGAAAATCTAAGTCCTGAAAAGCTTGATTTAAGAAAATCCATGGAGTTGAACTACTCATATTTCTTATAATATAAAAAGACTAGGCTGGGAGTGGTGGCTCACGCCTATAATCATAGTACTCAGGTGGATTCCTGAATAAGAGTAAGACCCCATCTCTACTAAAGATAGAGAAACTAGCTGGGCATTATGGCAGTTGCCTATAGTCCCAGCTACTCAGGAGGCTGAGGCAGGAGGATCACTCAATCCCCAGAGTTTTAGGTTATAGTAAGCAATGATAATGCCATGGCACTCTAGCCAAGACAACAGACTCTTTGAAAAAACAAACAAACAAAAAAAACCCTAATCTTACTTCCACAAGAGAATAAAAGAAAAACTGTATCTTATCTTTCCACTTCACAGTTTTTTCTTTTCCAATAAACTTCTCCTTAGCCCTGCAACTATCTTCCATATGGCAAAATTCTTATTTTAGCCTGGTTTACCTTCTGTCCAGGCCCACGGGTCATGGGGATGAATGAGGTAGTGGGGTGTGTGTATGTATATTTTTCATTAATCCATTTATATACTACCCTTATAAGAGAAACATTTCTACTCAGAGGAAGAATCACTGGTATCTGTGCAGGATTGGTTCCAAAACCTCCTGCAGATATTAAAATTCTTGATGTACAAGTCTCTAATATAAAATCATATCATATTTGCATATGACCTATGCACATCCTCCTATATACTTTAAAACACCTCTAGATTACTTAAAATACTTAATGTAATGCTAAATAGTTGTTATGCTATATTCTTTAGGGAATGACAAGAAAACTCTGTACATTGTTCATTATGGATATAATTTTCTTTTTCAAATAGTTTCAAAGATCAGCAGTTGGTTGAATTCAAAGATGCAGAACTATGCATACACAGGGCCAACTGAATATTTCAGCTCCAAAAAGATCACTCACTCAAAACAATGAAAATGTAGGCAGATGTCACCTATAGGCAATGATTACAAGATACAAAGGACTAAGATGAAGAACATAAATGTTGCTCTGTTTGTTACTCTTTAACTTTATACTTTTTGCCACAGCATCAACCAATGAAAGAAGGCAAGCAGGCTATTAAGCTGTTTAAAAATCTCCCCAGGTCAGCATATGACCCAGCAGGGAGAGGTTCAAAAAAGTGCAGCCTTTCTTTTTCTCCTTAACAACCTGGTTTGTTTCCACTCCTTCCCCCTCCAGGACACATCCCTCACAGCTAGAAGCTCTTTCAATCGTTTACTTTGGATGTCTGCTTGAGAACAAATGATCTCGCTTATGCAGATGAGTTTGCCAGACTAGTGTGTACTTTCCAGTCTCAGGCCCTTTTATTGTTCTGGTTGAAACCTGACCCTTTGAAATGGATACCAGGACACCAGAAAGTCAATTTTTAAAAAGCAGAAAAAGTTGCAGGAAAAGAGCAAAAAACTATAGAAATGTCAAGATTTAACTTTTCCCTCTGTTCTTCTAAATAAGCCTGTCATGAAACTTTCTCACATTATACAATAATACCCATCTTGAAAGACAATCAATACATGTATAAAACACATATTAAAACTCACACAACAAAACATCACTGGTAATTCTATCATCTGATCTAATAAATATTATCTTTGCCTTAGGAGTAGACTGTCAAGACAGATCTGAATCAACACTTGCTTTCACTTTATTATCTCAACCTCACTAAATACTATTATGTGAGCTTTTTTTTTTTTGAGACAGAGTCTCACTACGTGGCCCTCCGTAGAATGCCATAGGGTCACAACTCACAGCAACCTCAAACTCTTGGGTTCAAGCAATTTTCTTGCCTCAATCTCCCAAGTAGCTGGGACTACAGGTGCCCGCCACAACACCCGTCTATTTTTTTGTGGCAATGGTCCTTATTGTTCAGCTGGTCCATATGGCTGATGCTGTAACCACTGTGCTATGGGCCCTGAGACTAAGGGAGCATTAGGTTTATTTTGTAATAATTAGTTTTAGACAACGTTCTGTATAAACTTGATCCAAATAAGTCAGATAAAATTAATGTCTGCAATTTTCTATAATTCAAAATTACAAAATCTACAATTTCAAAATTAAGAGATAAAATTCTGTGTAGGTCTTTTCAGTTTAATGCAATTTTGCCATTTTGTTATAGACAAAAAAAAAGCTAATGAAAATAAACAAGGCGGGGTGGCGCCTGTGGCTCAAGGAGTAGGGCACTGGCCCCATATACCGGAGGTGGAGGGTTCAAAGCCAGCCCTGGCCAAAAAAATGCAAAAAATGCAAAATAAAAAAAAGATGAAAAAAAAAAAAAAAAAGAAAATAAACAAGGCAATGGCCTTTTTGTTTTACTAAAGATTCTGTTTTGAAGACCTACTATTTTAAAGAAGTTTGCTTCTAAGTCTATCAAGCCTAAAAATGTATATTTCTTTCTCTGCAGTGTGATGAAAAAACTGATAAATCACAAGCTGCAACTAAAGTGTTTGTCTTTTCGCAATTTAAAATACTGTAAAATTCAACACTCAGAAAAATCTCATTGTGTAGTTCCTTCTCTACGAATAAAACATTGACTTAAAATGATATAAACAGCACCACACATATTTCATAAGACAATGCTATTCTAATTCTCAGAATTTTACAATTTTTATGGTGCCTTTTTTTCTTCTTTTTGGCCAAGCTAATTAAAAGGTTTGGCACAAACTCAAAATGAGACTATCCCAACTGCCTCAGAAGAGACTGCAAAAAAGACTCTAAACCAAGAATCATTTAAGCTTTCAAAATATTACCCATATTAAAAAAGGTATTTAGGTTATGCCAAACTGGAAAAAAGTTTTGAAAGATATCACTGTGTTCTAACACAAACATTAAGTAAAATATAAAAATAAATGATATTCTATATCTTAACACCACTTTCCTGTGTTATCCAGCACACGCTTTTCTTAGATAACTATCTCCCACCATTCTTACACTTACTTTAAGAAGTATCTCTGACCAGAAGATGTCTTTGCCATCTCCCAGCCTGCTGGCAGAGGTACATCATCAGGTATCTCAAAAGAAGACTGCCGAAGATGTTGAGCTGCAGATGTGGCTGCTGGACCAGAGACTACTCCAGTGGGGGTCAGTGTCCCAGGAGAAACTGCTCCCAACTGCAGGGAAGCTGGAGAGGAATGAGCTCGTACATGCTGAGGAGTCAAGGCTCCCGCAGTGCCTGCATCTGTACTGGCCTATTAGGAATATTAAAATGAAAATTTTTAAAAATGTTAGAGAGTCCCTTTAAATTTAAACTTCCCTGATAAAATTTTATCACAACTAAACAAGCACCAAAGACAAATTTCAGTATTAGTATTTGACACCTGAGAACACAGGTTTTTCAAATGCTTTTAATTGTATGTAATTTAGTATGTACATTTTATAAACATTTGTAATTTTTTCTTTTTTTAGACAGAGTCTCACTCTGTTGCCCTGGGGTTCAGGGCTGTGGAGTCATAGCTCACGGCAACCTCAAACTCTTGGGCTCAAGCAATCCTCTTGCCTCAGCCTCCCCCACAGCTGGGACTACAGGGCCTGCCACAATGCCCAGCTATTTTTAGAGACAATGTCTCACTCTGCTTAGGCTCAGGTCTCAAACTCCTGAGTCTCAATCACCTACCTCTGCCTCCCCAAATGCTGGGATTACATTTTTATTTTTCTAAACATTTTTAATTTGATTGATGGAGAGTCCATCTAAATGAATTTCTACCTACCATCATCAGACATGCCTTCTACATCTTTTAAAAGCAACTAATTCATAATAAATAAAATATTCCTAATGTTTTAATTCATAGTAATAAATGTAGGATTTTAAAACTTAATTTCTGAAAGGTCAAGGAAGTATAGGTGCTTTTCCAAATTCTCAAATGTTTTATAAGTATAAACACAACCCAAAGATTAACTATGTATTTATAAACTGTATTTTAAACAATTAATGTTTCCTAGGACAAACCCTAAAAAAAAGCAAGCCCCTGTAATTTTTTCTCACTATGAACAAATGCCATCAATAAAGAAATCATCACAAGTTATACAATTTTTTTTTTTTTTTAACCGGGACTGGGTTTGAACCCACCACCGCCAGTGTATGGGGCCGGTGCCCTACTCCTTGAGCCACAGGCACTGCTCAAGTTATATGACTTTTAATGCAAGCAAAAGATATGGAACTACCCAAATCGTTGTTAAAAGCCATCTAATTACTGGAATTAAAAACCAACCATACCTTCAAACCTAGAAGACAAAGATGTTACCAGTTCGATCGTAGTATAACTTAAGAACTTACAAACACATTTACAACTATGGAATAGTAGAAAAATTCTGAGTTCCAGTTCAAGCTGGCTAGTGTTCACTGAATAGATAACTTCCATTTGCCTCCGTTTTCTCATTTGTAAAATGGTTTTCAGGTTTTCATGATGGAAAAAATGGATATACGTTAAAGAATTTGCAGTCAACAGTGTATGAATAGTAGATAATATAGCGTTTTTAAAATTCCTTATTAGAGTTTATCAAAATGTTAAAATTTCCTAAATTCATGTAGGCAAATAAAGGAAACTAGAAGGAATCGGTAATCCTTTAAGCCTTAAAGTCACATACAATTCTGCGTTTCCAATCAGAATAAGTATCATTTAGGAAATCCTTGGCAGAAACAAAAATTCAACTTACAGATGCACAACACTTCGTTTAAAGGCTTGTTAAAAACAAAAGTATATGAACAGTGTAAATTTTCAAATTGCTGAATATCAACTTTTACGCAATTAAGGCTAGAATAATCAACACACCTTTCAGTTGTAATTCTTTTTGGCTGACAAATGCCACAAAATAGGGAATTCAATCACCTATATATATGTTTTTTATACTTTCAAAACATACTGAGTAACCAGTAGAATAGCTGTGTAGTCAGTAGGGTGCATGCCAACATGTATTTATCAGTAATGAGAGTCCGCAACCCCACTTCCAGGGGTAAGAGAAAAAAGCATACCTAAGTCTACTTCTTACTAATTGAAGTGTTTAGGCAAGCAGCTAAATTGTTTTTCCTTCCTCCTCTCTAACCCGGGTTTTTGTCATCAGGTTAAGTGAGCTTTTCTGATTTCCAAAACCTGCTTGTCTGCTAGGCGAGAATATACAACAGGCCTGAAATAGGAGGGGGAATAGGAGTGGGGGCGGCAACTCTTCTCTCCACTCAAGTTACAGCCCGAGTGGGCTAACTGCATTGCGGTATTTGGAAAACCAATTAACTTTTAGGCCAACTTCCTATGTTGAAGTTTAGACTGAAAAAAGTTCTCCAAGAAAAGGGGGGGGGGGGGGCGCGGAGAGAAAAAGAGAAAGAAAGAGAACAGTAAATAAATCCCCTGGGGCCTACCGGAATGTTAACACTTCATTATAAAGCTTCACTTCAATACTGAGTCTAGTTGGCAAAATAACCAAACCTTGTGTATGTGGAAAAGCAGCCATGTTCATATCCTCAATAAGAATTAAAAAGCAATGGCGATCCTAGAATTAGTCATCGCTTCCCAAACATTTACTTTTAATCACAGTTGAACTGGGCAGGACTTGGCCTATGAGTCAACCTGCAGTGTATTATCAAAGGCTTGTGTTAAAAACTCAGTGCTGTAAAAGGCCAACTCAGTTCCTGCGCAACGTACAGATGTGGCTAACTCAAAAGCATTTCAGCAGACTGTAAATAATAGTCTAAAATTGGGAAATCAACACGTGAACCTACTAAGTTTGATAAGAGAGAGTCCGCCCGAGTTGCAAGGAACAAGGGAAGCGCCGGAGTGAAAACTCCATAAACAACTTCCAGGAAAGTCTGGGCAGGGGAAGCCCGAATCCTGTATTCTGAAAGCGCCAGGCCGCGAGAAAAATAAATGCTTACAGGAGGAGGGGGAGGAGGAGGCAAGGAGAAGGAGGAGGGCAGAGGAGGAGAGAAAGAGGGAGGAGTGGGACCCGGACCGGGTGGGGGAGGGGGAAAGAGCAAGAAAGTAAATGGACCGGTTCAACCCCCATCCCTAATCAACACTGGAAAACAAGAGAACAATTATTTGACTCCCCAGGAGACTGAAGTGGACCGAGAGGCCCCGAAGGAAAGGGGGCCCAGGGCTCAACTTCACAAACTCGGCCGCCGCTGGCAACTCACCCACACACAAATGCCAGAGGCCCCCCTCCCCCTTTCCCGGCCCAGGCCCGGCGGGAGCGAAGGTGCGGAGCGCGCGGAGGCGCGCGCATTGTGCGAGCCCACCGCGGCCCCGGCCCGACTCCCCACCCCCTTCCTGCCTCCCACCTCCCCCCCACTCCCGCCAACCTCCCGGGAACCCCGGGAAGAAAGAAAAGAGGAATGAGGAAAGGACGCCCCCCGGGGCTGCGACCGCGGAGAAAAACTCCAAGGGGAAAAACAAATCTCGGCCCCGGACTCCGGAGGAATGGGGAGCCCGGAACCGCGGCCGAACGGGCGCCTCCAGTTCCTCCACTTCACCGCAAGAGCCGCCCCCCCACCCCAGCCCCGCGAGGCCACCCGGAGCCTCCCGCCCCCGGTCAGAGCCGGCAGCCGCGGACCCCGAGCGCCCCCCGCCTGGGGCCCACCCGACGGGCCGGGGGAGAGGGGCGGCGAAGTTACCTGTCGGGAGTGGGACTTGGGCTCCGGCGGCTTGAAGAAGGAGTCGGGCAGCTTCCGGAGCCTCATGGGCACGGTCTGGGGCACGTTGGCCGTCTTCGGGTTCATGACGGCGTTGAAGAGTGCCTCCAGGTCGGTCTCCGAGTCCCCCCGGACGTGCACGATCTGGTGCCCGGCGGGGGGCGCCGGGGGCGCCGCCTGGGGTGCCGGCTGCCCCGGCCCGGACGGCTGGCCCTGCCCCTGGGGGGTCTGCGCGGGCGGCTGCCCTTGGCCCGGGGGGGCCGGCTGAGGCGGCGGCTGCTGCCCAGGATCCATGGCTTCTGCCTCCCCGACGCGCACCCCTTGACCAGGCAGGCGAGGGCTCCGCCCGGACGTCCCGGCTCGACGGGTCGAGATGGGCGAAGCGGCGAGAGCGGCGGGCCGGGCGGCGCTGGGCGGCGGGAGCGGCGCTGTCCTCGCTCTCAGGGCCGGGGGGCTGCGCCGCGGTCCCGCATCCCCCGCCCCGGCGCCTCCGCCCCCGCCCTGCGCCCCGGCTCCACTGGTCTGGCGGCTGCGCCTCGGGAGGGGCTGCGAGAGGCTCGGACCTGCGGCGCCTGAGAACTTTTTTCCCTCAACTCCCTTGACGGAGACCGGACGGCTACTTGCCTTCCCCTCCCCCTTTCTCTTTTATTTCCTTTTCTTGTTCCTTCCTTCCTCCCTTTCTTTTCCCTGGCGGCGGCTGCGCCCGACTGAGACAGAAACTCGCCTAAAACTAAAGTTGAGAGAAGCGCCCGCCCGCGCCGCTCGCCGGCTCCGCCTCCTCCCAGCTCTTCCTTCCTCTGCGCGCCCGCCCGCACCGAGTCCGCGGCCGGCCGCAGAGGGAAACTTTCCCGGCAAGTTACTACATTCCTGCAGACTCCCGGCCGCACGTGACGCGCCCGCCCTTGCTGCCGGCCTCCCTCCGCCCGCGCCTCGCGGCGCAGCAGCCGAGAGCGCGCCTGGTGTTCGTGCGGCCGGGGCGGCCGACCCTCGGACCAATGCTGGGTCGGAACTCTGGTCTGCGGAGGACGCGGCCGCCCTGGGCCTCGCCAAGTCCTCCCGCCCCGCCACCGCTCGGGAAGGGCTCTTCCAGCTGGCCTGGACATGTGCAATGGCCAAGGTCGAAAAAAGTCGGGAGCAGAGGACGTATAAATGCACTTACCTCCTCCCGGCGGTAGCTCGACTAGACGGAGTTGAGCGCCAGTGCGGGCTCAAAGCCGCGAGGATGGGTTGGAGTTAAAATAGGTAACAGACAGCGATTTTAATAAAAGTCCGTTTTTAAACATTAACTTGATTTTGTAATTTTTCACTTCTTAGTCTACGAAAGCCTACTTGAAAAAGGGAAACAATTATTGTACTTGAAAACTGGTCTGTGACTCAATGCAAATTGCTCAAAGAAGCGAAAACATTACCTTTTTTACAAGTGAAAAAACCACATCTTTTTAAGCACTCAAACTTGGAACACAGTCGCTGAGAATCTCAACACAGCACACACACAAAAGATCGGTGCTCAACTTTGGTTGCAAGCATTCCTCCGTCCCTATCTTTAATCCTGGAGCGCTGGGAGCCTGCAGCCTCTTTGTCGTCCTGTACCTGGCACAGGGGTGAACTCAGATGGATGCGAACTAAGAAATGAATAGGCAAGGAGGTCACCCAGGCACCCGATTCTCCATGTGACAGTATCATGTGCAAGGAGTCTATTTGAAAATACTCAATTTGTTTTTTAAGTCAAACTTTTTTTTTTTTTGAGACAGAGCCTCAAGGTGTTGTCCTGGGTAGAGTCCTGTGGCATCACAGCTCACAGAAACCTCCAACTCCTCGGCTCTAGCGAATCTCCTGCCTCCACCTCCCAAGTAGCTGGGACCACAGGCGCCTGCCACAACGCCCGGCTATTTTTTGGTTGCAGCCATCGTTTGGCTGGCCGGGACTGGATTCGAACCCGCCAGCTCAGGTGTATGTGGCTGGCGCCTTAGCCGCTTGAGCCACAGGCGCCAAGCCCAAGTCATAAACTTTTTTTAAAGCAGCTTCATTGAGATACAGTTTACATAACATATTATTCGTCCATTAAAGCAACTCACTGGGGTTTTTTAGTCTATGTACAGGGGTGTGCCACATTAGGCTGATTTTTTTTAATCCACTAGCCTATTCTGAAGAAATCCGGTTCTGGTTCTTGTTTAATGATTTTTGTCTGCAGTGCTAGTGAAACACAGGTATAAATAGGATTAAGCAAGGAAAAGGCCCTTGAGCAAAAAAGATAATCTCTTCCTCCAGCCAGAACTTGCCCAGGAGATTTCTGAAGAGGAATCTGCATCTCTTGGTGGTAGGGCTGGCCGAGGAGAGCAAGCTTTAGACACTACTCAAATTCGTTTTTTTGTTTGTTTGTTTTTTTCTTCCCACGTTGATCATCGGCTTGCACAGACACTCAAAATTCTAACAGAGATTCTAGTCACCTGCTCTGGAGCCCAGTTTCCTCTCTGAGGAAAAGGGTCAATGTAAGTGACATTTATGACTGCTTCTTGGATTTGTTCCTGCTCCCCTCAAACATCAGTGCGTTTAACAACAGACTTGGAAGTTCTGGAGTTACAGAGTTTTGAGTGCAACTCCCAATTCCACTATTTACTAGCTGGGAGACATTGGATAGTTACTTGTTTGCTGTTCTTTAATATTAATGTCAGGGGTAGTATCTCGTGGTTGTTGGAGCATTAAACTAGTCAATATGAAGTACTTAGTCCAGTTTTTGACATAAGGCAAGTTCTGCATCAATGTCAGCTGTCATGGTTGTCCCATGTCCCCGATTACTTCACAGGTAGTGATGTAGCTTCTCGAGACCCTTGCAGCAGCCCTCACTTATTTTATTTTATTTTATTTTTTGAGACAGAGTCTCAAGCTATCCCTGGGTAGAGTGCTGTAGCGTCACAGCTCACAGCAACCTCCAACTCTTAGGCTTAAGCAATTGTCTTGCCTCAGCTTCTCAAGTACCTGGGACTACAGGTGCCCGCCACAACTCTCAGCTATTTTATTGTTGTAGTTGTTGTTTAGCTGGCCCAGGCCCAGTTCAAACATGCCAGCCTTGGTGTTATGTGGCCAGTGCCCTACCTATTAAGCTACTGGTGCCGCCCTCAGCTGCCCTCACTTTCTAAGCACGGCCTCAGAGACCTTTCCACTCACATCTAATAATCAATCCACACAAACAAAGCCTTTGGGTAGAAACTGTGCATTAATAACTTCTCTTAAGAACAAAAGTGGCGGGCTTGGCGCCTATAACCCAGTGGTTATGATGCTGGCCACATGCACAGAGGCTAGTGGATTTGAGTCCAGCTGGATGACACCTGCAATAAAAAAAATAGCCAGGTGTTGTGGCAGGTGCCTGTAGTCCCAGCTACTTGGGAGGCTGAGGCAAGAGAATCACTTAAGCCCAAGAGATGGAGGTTGCTGTAAGCTGTGATGTCATAGCACTCAAAATAAAAACAAAAAAAAAAAACTAAAGTGGTTGAAAATCTGGATTTGTAATGGAAACTCCCTTTATTAGAGCATTCACTACTAGGAATGCTATAATTAAAAGACTTAAGATACAGAGATTTGGCTCGGCGCCTATAGCTCAACCAGCTAAGGCGCCAGCCACGTACACCTAAGGTGGCG